CACTGAGGCATGTAGCTTGTCGTTCAGCACCTGGCCACACTTCCATCGGATGGACAGTACCGCCTCTAATGCTGAACCCCTCCCACTGTGAGCTGCAGTGTCTGGGAGGGGGAGCGTGTGAGACACAAATGAAGGAGGATTTGGCTTTTGGAATTTTTTTTTTTTGATTTTCTGAGACTTGTGCATCTCATAGTAAATGATTATATGCCGTGTATTAGAATGCCTTTATTTGTAGTTTAACCCTCGCACTTCCACTGCCGTATGTAGTGTGGCTGCTCCCGGGAAATTTGATCAGACAGCTGTCATACGTGTCATCCACACACCCCTGATCAGCAATCCATTCGTTTCATTGGAGGCCAGGTGAGACATCAGGGGCCTATTAGACCCCTGATATCTTACTAAAGATAACCTGTCACCAAAAATGCTTATATAGGGGACTTCTTATATACACTAAAGCTCATAAAGCGAAAAAGGGGTAGTTTTGCTTTGTCTCCCCCCTCCCCCCCCACTACCATATTTGGCATGTATTTTTTTTTTTGGGGGGGGGGGGCTAAGTGAAAAAGAATGTGGAAGTATTACACTAAGGCTCTTAAAGCGGAATTTCACCCAAAGGGGGTAGTTTAGCTTTTAGTCTTTACCCCCCCACTACCATATTTGGAATGTCTTTTTTGGGGGGGGGGGGGGAGCTGGGTGAAAAAGAAAATAGAAGTATTACACTAAAGCTCTTAAAGCAGAACTTCACCCAAAAGGTCTCTTCCCCCCCCCCCCCACCACCACCATATTTGGAATGTTTTTTTTGAGGGGGGGCTTAGTGAAAAAGAATGTAGAAGTATTACTCTAAGGCTGTTAAAGTGGAACTTCACCCAAAAGCCCAAAAGGGGTAGTTTAGCCTTAAGTCTTTCCCAACCCCCCCTCCCCACTATCATATTTGGCATTTTTTTTTTTTTTTTTTTTTGGGGGGGGGGGGGCGGCTTAGTGAAAAAGAATGTAGAAGTATTACACTAAGGCTCTTAAAGCGGAACTTCACCCAAAAGGTCTCTCTCTCCCCCATCCATATTTGAAATTTTTTTTTTTTTTTTTTTTTTTTGAGGGGGGGCTTAGTGAAAAAGAATGTAGAAGTATTACTCTAAGGCTGTTAAAGGGGAACTTCACCCAAAAGCCCAAAAGGGGTAGTTTTGCTTTAAGTCTTTCCCAACCCCCCCCCCCCCCCTTCCCACTACCATATTTGGCATTTTTTTTTTTTGAGGGGGGGGGGGGGCGGCGGCCTAGTGAAAAAGAATGTAGAAGTATTAGAAAAATACAGGCTACTGATGTTATTTACCGTTTAACATCTGTGTGCTATTTTAGGGTTTGACATATTTCTGTGTCTTTTTATTCAGGCAATCGCATTTCTATTTTACCAAAAAATTGGGTGATATATTGCATTTTTTGCGTCCCTAAAATGAATCGCTTCCCCACTGCCCTATTGCAGGGCTTCGCAAAATCACATATATTTGCATTTCCGGGTAGGGGGTGCACACGCCACCCTACCCACACCAAATTTTTTTTTCAAAATTGTCAGTCTGTTTGTTTATGAGGAGATTAAATTTAAAAAAAAAAACAAAAAAAAACAAAAACATTTTTTACTAAACATGTTTAATGGCAAAAAAAAATATTTTTTTTTTTACTCAGAATTGTCGGTCTTTTTTCATTTATAGCGCAAAAAATAAAAACTGCCCAGGTGATCAAATACCACCGAAAGAAATCTCTATTTGTAGAAGGGAACATAAATTTAATTCAGGTGCAGCGTTGCAATTGTCAGTTAAAGTGCGCCGTATTGCAAAAAGATGGCCTGGTCAGAAAGCGTGGAGTAAATCCTCTGGAGAGCAAGTGGTTAACTAGTGTTTTTTTTGTTTTTTTTTTGGTTTTTAATATAGGGAATGCGGGGTCCGGGGAGACCGGATATAGGCAATGCAGGGTCCGGGGAGACCGGATATAGGCAATGCGAGGTCCGGGGAGACCGGATATAGGGATGCTGGGTCCGGGAGACCGGATATAGTGGAATGCGGGGCGGGGAGACCAGATATACTGAATGCGGGGTCCGGGGAGACCGGATATAGGGAATGCGGGGTCCGGGGAGATCTGATCGGATATAGGGAATGCGGGGTCCGGGAGACCGGATATATGAATGCGGGGTCGGGGAGAGCGGATATACTGAATGCGGGGTCCGGGGAGACCGGATATAGGGAATGCGGGGTCCGGGGAGACCGGATATAGGGAATGCGGGGTCCGGGGAGACCGGATATAGGGAATGCGGGGTCCGGGGAGACCGGATATAGGGAATGCGGGGTCTGGGGAGACCGGATATAGGGAATGCGGGGTCCGGGGAGACCGGATATAGGCAATGCAGGGTCCGGGGAGACCGGATATAGGCAATGCGAGGGTCCGGGGAGACCGGATATAGGGAATGCTGGGTCCGGGGAGACCAGATATACTGAATGCGGGGTCCGGGGGGGAGACCGGATATAGGGAATGCGGGGTCCGGGAGACCGGATATAGGGAATGCGGGGTCCGGGGAGACCAGATATACTGAATGCGGGGTCCGGGGAGACCGGATATAGGGAATGCGGGGTCCGGGAGACCGGATATAGGGAATGCGGGGTCCGGGGAGATCGGATATAGGGAATGCGGGGTCCGGGAGACCGGATATAGTGAATGCGGGGTCCGGGGAGAGCGGATATAGTGAATGCGGGGTCCGGGGAGAGCGGATATACTGAATGCGGGGTCCGGGGAGACCGGATATAGGGATGCGGGGTCCGGGGAGACCGGATATAGGGAATGCGGGGTCCGGGGAGACCGGATATAGAATGCGGGGTCCGGGGAGACCGGATATAGGGAATGCGGGGTCCGGGGATGGACCGGATTTAGGGAATGCGGGGGGAGACCGGATATAGGGAATGCGGGGTCCGGGGAGACCGGATATAGGGAATGCGGGGTCCGGGGAGACCGGATATAGGGAATGCGGGGTCCGGGGAGACCGGATATAGGGAATGCGGGGTCCGGGGGGGAGGGATGCGGGGTCCGGATATAGGGAATGCGGGGTCCGGGGAGACCGGACACAGGTCCGGGGAGAGACCGATATAGGGAATGCGGGGTCCGGGGAGCGGCAGGGGAATGCGGGGGGGTCCGGGAGAGCGGATACAGGGAATGCGGGGTCCGGGGAGACCGGCGGCGGGTCCGGGGGAGAGCGGGGTCCACAGCGGATGCGGGGTCCGGGGAGACCGGATATAGGGATGCGGGGTGGGGGAGACCGGATGCGGCGTCCGGGGAGAGCGGATATAGCGAATGCGGCGTCCGGGGAGAGCGGAATGCGAATGCGGGGTCCGGGAGCAGATATAGGGAATGCGGGGTCCAGGGAGATCAGATATAGGGAACAGCAGGGGATATAGGGCGGCGGGGTCCCCGGAGGAGAGCGGACACGGCGGAATGCGCGGCGTCCGGGGAGACCGGACACAGCGGATGCGGCGTCCGGGGAAGAGCGGACACAGCGGATGCGGCGTCCGGGGAGAGCGGACACAGCGGAATGCGGGCGTCCGGGGAGAGAGCGGACACAGCGGATGCGGCGGCGTCCGGGGAGAGCGGACACAGCGGAGTCCGGGGGTGAGCGGACACGCGGATGCGGCGTCCGGGGAGAGCGGACACCGCGGGGAGAGAGAGCGGACACAGCGGATGCGGCGTCCCGGGGAGAGCGGACACAGCGGATGCGGCGTCCGGGGAGAGCGGACACCGCGGATGCGGCGTCCGGGGAGGCGGACAGCGGAGCGGGGAGAGCGGACACCGCGGATGCGGCAGCGGATGCGGCGTCCGGGGAGAGCGGACACAGCGGATGCAATTTGCATGTCATAAAAAAATTAACTAATTTTTTTTTTTTTTATTCCTTCAGAAAAATATTTTAGTGTTTTGCAGTTTTTCAGGCCTAAAATATTTTTTTTATTTCCTTTTTTTGTGCAAAAAAACGAAATCAAAGTGAATGAATAATATGGATGTGAGAGAGTCATGGTTTGTTTTATTGCAGTACATAGACGTGGCTGTAGGGATTGGTGTCATGGCGGTGTGGTGGGTTGCTGGGTAGGCTGTGGATGTGCGATGTAAGCAGAGCCGTGGCTCGCAGTCTCTGTGTTGTTCCTGTGCTCAGTGAGTGGAAAATGTTGGCCTTGTCCTCACATGAACTCTGCTGCCTGGGTGAGCGCTCCGTGCTGCACGCCGTTCCATGACATCTGTGTTGCAGATTATATTCCGGCTTTCCCAAAGCGTCCAGACAGGTGTGTGGTCCTTCCATTGGCATCCCGTCTCCCATACTCCGATAGATGTTACATTGTTCGGTTTGTATATTTTTCTGCTGTCGAGGTTTTCTCTGGCTGTCATGGTTATCCAGCTGCCGTGGGATTTCACTTGCTGCATGCTTGGTCTGGGTGTGTGAATCAGAAGCTACTGACGACAGACAGCCGGGGGCAACCAGCATTTTGGGGAAGATGGCGGCAATATTCATTCACTTTTGGATGCGACTTAGAAGAGACTTTGGTTGGGTGCGACTTTTAGGCTCTATTCACATTTGTGCGAATTCAAAATAATGCGGTTTTTTTTTGTTTTTTTTTAATTGCGATTTTACAGTGCGACTTTGACGCGACTTCATATGAGTGCATCTTTGGCTTTGAAAAAGGATGATTGTAGTGTACAAAGTCAGACACAAGTCGCATGTATATCATTCAAGTGCGACTTTGGAGGGTTTACATTGAAGTCTATGGCCCTCAAGTTGCATGAAAGTCGGACCAAAGTAGTGCAGGAGCTACGTTCAAGTTGCTGCAACTTGAAGTCCCATAGATATGAATGGTACTGATTGGGGAATTTGTTTGTTTATGCGATAGGACCGCTGTATGATTTATTGCTAAAACTTGCACTTGTTTATTTTTTCCACCTTTCATCATCTTTACTTTGACCTTCATTATTCTTTTTTTGTTTAGCATGTGGACATGGAGAATGCCTATCTGTGTGGATACTTGAAGATAAAAGGCCTTACTGAGGTAAGTGTTGTGTGTTTTTTTTTTTTTGTTTTTTTTGTTTCTTTTGTTTTTGTTTTTTTTTCCCAAAGGAGGACTATGGATGCTTTGTCAAAAATGGCAAAGGACTGGTCATCAGCTTTGCCTGCGGGCTCCCTGCAGTTGATCATTCCCATTTCCCATGTCTTGTTCTGCACTGCGTCCGTATGGGAGAAGGTATCTATCTTGGTACTGAGATAAATGTTGTGGTAATAAAGAAGCAGCAGGAGAGGTGGAGAACACACAGATCCACAGAATGAATGAAGCAGATGCAGGGAGATCCTTACACTGCATGTTCTCAGGTGCGGCTTCCTCTCCAGCAAGGAGAACAGTGAGCAGTGCAGTTCACCAAATCTCACTGCATATCTGGTGATGTCACTGGTGGCAGTGCCTAAATGATCTTAAACTGTAGATATACAGCTGTTGGGCTCAAAGCATAGGAGATGCACTACTATTTTCAGGGGAAATTGATGAAAAAAGGTAAATTTTCAGGGTACTGCTTACATATTTTTTAAAGGTATTTTACTGCTTTTTATATGCAATACAGGATCAGAGTGGTTATATAGCAGGGCTTGACAAATCCCAGGAGCTAGGTCGCCATGGCAACTAGAAATTGTGTCCTGGTGCCTGGGCTTTTGTCAGCCCATTCACTGTTGGAACCTGCCATGATCGACTGAAGCGGGGATAGCCTGTGGCGAGGCAGGCCAGTGAGGAGGGAGTTGCAGTAGTCAAGTCGTGATATGATGAGGGAGTGGATGAGTTGCTTAGTAGTTTCCGGGGTTAAGAACGGACGTACCCTACCCAAATAAATAGCGAACCTACCCAAATAAATAGCAGAACCTTCCCAAATAAATAGCGAGCCTACCCAAATAAATAGAGAACCTTCCCAAATAAATAGCGAACCTTCCCAAATAAATAGCGAACCTTCCCAAATAAATAGCGAACCTTCCCAAATAAATAGAGAACCTTCCCAAATAAATAGCGAACCTTCCCAAATAAATAGCGAACCTTCCCAAATAAATAGCGAACCTTCCCAAATAAATAGCGAACCTCCCAAGATGATAGCGAACCTACCCAATGAAATCTACCTACCCAGATGATAGCGGACCTACCCAGATGATAGCGGACCTACCCAGATGATAGCGGACCTACCCAGATGATAGCGGACCTACCCAGATGATAGCGGACCTACCCAGATGATAGCGGACCTACCCAGATGATAGCGGACCTACCCAGATGATAGCGGACCTACCCAAATAAATCCATTTGTTACCCAACCAGGGAAATCCCTGCATTGCATAGCCATTGCTAAATATAAAGGAGATTGTACAACCTGTGTGTGAGATCAGCTTTAAAATCTGTAAATGTCTGACCAAGATCTTAGAATACATGTAAAAGCAACAATTAAAGAATGAGTTCTGAATGTTGCTTGCTTGTATAGACAGACTGGCTGCACTTTTTGAATAGTATCCTTTTTGTATGTAACTTTGGTATCGTCTCTTAGTTGTCATGCAGTCATGCCAAGACTTACCCCTTTCTCCTGCTTCCAGGAATACCCGACCCTCACCACCTTCTTCGAAGGGGAAATAATTAGTAGAAAACATCCATTTCTAACTAGGAAATGGGATGCAGACGAAGATGTGGATCGGAAGCACTGGGTAAGTGGCAGTATTGATGTCCTAGACTTCTGTTTTGTATTTATTTTTTTCAAGAAAAGTATGGTCATTGCACAAAGCACCCTGTCAGAATTTTGTGTTTGCCATCTGGGTTTTAAAAGAGAATCTGACTGCTGTGAGGAGCACCCCTGTATTTCTTTTCACATTTTAGTCTACCGGTAAGTGTGGTCTATTTTTTTTTTTTTCTTTCGCATCTTTAACCGCTTGCCCTCCGCCCTATAGCAGTAGTACTGCTACAGGGCGGCACAGCTGTGCAAAATCACATGTATATATACGTGATTTGCATTTACAGGTAGGGGGAGCGCGTGCGCTGCCCTATCTGCTCTGCTATTGGCAGCTGTTGATGCCAATCACCGGGTCCCAGCCAGCGATTCTTTGCCGGGACTCTGATTGTTAGCAAAACTGACAGGAGAGACCTGTGTGTAAACAACACAGGTCTCTCTCCTGTCAGCATTGACATGCTGCTTTGTATCTCCCTGTACAGCAGAGAGATACAAAAAAAATTATTTGCTATAAGCAATCAAATTGTGTAAAGAAAAAAAAAAAACATACTGATCTCTTCCCCAAAGTAGTACAATGTTACTATGTGACATTATACTACTTTGGTCATAGAGCTATATAAAAAAAAAAAAAAGAGAAAAAAATGTAATAAATAAAAAAAAAAAAAAAAAGTAAAAAAAATTATCTTTTTTTTTTTTTTTTTTCTTCGTACTGTCGCCATTCAGTGTCCCTGATCACCGCCACACCTGTTAGATGCTGATGCTGTACTGCACTGGTGACAGTATGTAAAATAAAAAATTGTGAAAATTAATTTTTTTAATTCATTTTCTGAACAATTATGACAAAAAATATTACAACTTCAAAAAACTCGCCATGCCTCTTATGAAATACGTCGGACTGTCTACTTTGCAAAAAGGGGGTCATTTGGGGGATATCTGTACTATTCTGACATTTGGGGGATATCTGTCCTGTTCTGACATTTGGGGGATATCTGTACTGTCCTGACATTTGGGGGGATATCTGTCCTGTTCTGACATTTGGGGGGATATCTGTACTATTCTGACATTTGGGGGATATCTGTACTATTCTGACATTTGGGGGATATCTGTCCTGTTCTGACATTTGGGGGATATCTGTACTGTCCTGACATTTTGGGGGATATCTGTCCTGTTCTGACATTTGGGGGGATATCTGTCCTGTTCTGACATTTGGGGGGATATCTGTCCTGTTCTGACATTTGGGGGATATCTGTACTGTCCTGACATTTGGGGGGATATCTGTACTGTCCTGACATTTGGGGGGATATTTGTCCTGTCCTGACATTTGGGGGATATTTGTCCTGTCCTGACATTTGGGGGATATCTGTCCTGTTCTGACATTTGGGGGATATCTGTCCTGTTCTGACATTTGGGGGGATATCTGTCCTGTTCTGACATTTGGGGGGATATCTGTCCTGTCCTGACATTTGGGGGGATATCTGTCCTGTCCTGACATTTGGGGGAGATCTGTCCTGTCCTGACATTTGGGGGAGATCTGTCCTGTCCTGACATTTTTGGGCCTCAAGAAATTAGTTTGTAAGAAAGTTATAAATACTGATTTGGGTTATTTTCACCAAAGAAATGTAGCAGAATACATCTCGGCCTAAATTTATGAAGAACAATTATTTATTTGCAAACTTTTTATAACCGAAACAAAGAAAAACGTAGGGTTTTTTTTTTTTTTCAAAAATTTTTGGTCTTTTTTTTGTTAATTTACCAAAAAATGAAAACTCCAGCGCAGGGGCGGACTGACAACTCATGGGGGACCCTGGGCAATTGGGGATCATGGGGCCCCTGTGTCCTTGCCCACACTCAAAACGCACCCAAAAAAACTCTATAAAAGGTACCAGGGGCATTTTATGGGGCCCCCTACTGACCCCGGGCCCTCGGGCAGTACCCGAGTGCTCGAATAGTCAGTCCACCCCTGCCCTAGCGGTGATTAAATACCACCAAAAGAAAGCTCTAGTTGTGTGAACAAAATGATAATATTTTAGCTTGTTGCATGACCGCGCAATTGTCATTCAAAGTGTGAGAGCGCTGAAACCTGAAAAATGGCCTGGGCAGGAAGGCAGTAAAAGTGCCCTGTATGGAAGTAATTAAATGTCAAAAATACGTTTTTATACCCGTCATCAAAGCTATATGTATGACATTGCCCAGTACATTGTCCTTTTTAATCGATCCGTTTGTCTTTCCACAGGGCAAGTTCCAGGCCTTCTACCAGTATGCGAAAACCTTCAATTCTGATGACTTTGGTTTTGATGAGTTGAAAGCTGGAGACTATGTCTTCATGAGGTGGAAGGTAAATTTCATTACAGAGGACCTGAAGTCAAATGTGGCCTTTAGAGCTTTGGCATCCTTTCCTGTCGGCTCATACAGGCTCAATCTGGGCTCCCCACCATCTGTCATCACTTCTGCTTTTTTTTTTTTTTTTTTTCCACTACTGTTCTGCTTTAAGCAGAGACTACAGTTGTGGCTGTTGCTACCATTTAAAACACGGGAATCAATTTTTGTCAGAAAAAACATACAGAGAGTCCATAAGTCCCAATAAAGTCCGTAACTGTATAAACACTTTAGGTGGCAGCCGTCCCAGAGAGCGCCAACTCTGTGCATGGTAGGAAAGAAAAGTGGAGAGGCGCCTTCTAAGTGCAAAAAAAAGATTTTAACCACTTCCCGTCCATCCTATGTATATAAGTGGCCAGACGGGAGCAGTGCAGGGGCGGGTGGCCGTTTATAAACGTCCTCCAGTGCCCGCTGTGTCCTCCGGATCATTGTACGGGACCTCTGTGTGAAGTCCCGATCATGTGATCACTGATTGGCCAATCAGTGATCACATGAAGAGTAGTAAGCAAGATGTCACTTCTGACATCATTGCTTACTACGTGTGAAATCTGTGAATGACCAGAGGTCACATGGCACAAGGCTATTCACAACAGTCTTGTACCATGTGACAATCTGTGACCAATCACAGCTCACACAGTATTTCTCAATGGATGCAAGAATGCAGACAGAGAGAAGGAGAAATGATTGCTTTTACAGCCTTTATGGGTGTAAAAACAATTGGTGTAGAAAAAAAAAAAAAAAAAAATCATCACCCCACACTAGTAAAGTGTCACTATGGTGACACTGTACTGCTAGGGTGACAGTGTGTTAAAAAAACCAAGCATAATATTACAAAAAAATAAACATATTTTAAATATTATAATTTTTGGTTATAAACTAATTTGGGTTATTTTTTTTTTTTTTTTTTACTAAAAAGATAACTGAATACATTTTGGCCAATATTTATGAAGAAAGATTATTTATTTGCAAAATTTTAGAAAAACACTTTTTTTTTTTTTTTTTTTCAACTTTTTTTGGACTTTTTCATTTATATAGGAAAAAAAATAAACATCCCAGCGGTGAATAAATACCACCAAAATAAAGTTTTAACTGTCTCAAAAAAATACTAAAAAATTCATATGGGTACAGTGTTGCATGACCGCGCAATTGTCATTCAAAGTGTGATAGCGCTGAAAGCTGAAAATTGGCCTGGGCAGGAAGGGGGGGAAAGTGTCCGGACTGGAAGTGGTTAAAGACCTCACATTTATCCATTTTTTTTGCTGCATGTCAAGTAGAAATCCTGTTCTTTTCTATGTGGCTAGTTCACATTGGTTGGCTGAAGTATAGCATAAAGGGGAAACTTTGTGCCCCTTCTTATGTACATGTGCACTTTGCCACCTGCTGCATGCGCATGAAAGGATATACCCAGCCTTATAATAAAAAAAAAAAATCACGATAAAGCGGCTGACCTTGGGAGAACTGTATTCATTCTGGCTGAGACGAGGGGAACTGACCTGTTGCCAGGCTGGGATACGGAAGCTGCAGATCCATAATGCATAATGTCAGTGCTCTTGGTTTTCATTGTGTTGTAGCCTACTCAGGGGCGGACTGACCATTTGGAAACTCAGGCACTGCCCGAGGGCCAGGGTCAGTAGAGGGCCCCATGAGATGCCCCTGGTACCTTTTTCATAGGCTTTTTTGAGTTTGGGCAAGGACACAGGGGCCCCATGATCCCCTACCGCCCGGGGGCCCCATGAGTTGTCAGTCCGCCCCTGATCCTACTGACCACTCTTCCTGTTTCCACAGGAGCAGTTCTTGGTGCCCGATCACACAATCAAAGACATCAGCGGCGCTTCCTTTGCCGGCTTCTACTACATATGCTTTCAGAAGTCTGCTGCAACAATAGAAGGCTATTACTACCATCGGAGCTCTGAGTGGTAAGGAGACAACATTTCGGTTTCCTGTCGTATGCTTGCTTCCTTGGAGAAACTTAACAAATTTTGGGATCAAAAAAAGCCGGACCGATTGGGTACGGTGCAAATATTGGATTCTTTGGGCACAGTAAGAGACCACACGGTAAAATACGTTTATTGACATAAAAGAGTTATATATTCTTTATAGGACCCATATTACAAACATGTCCTCTCCAAAAGAGGGGACAAAAGCAGGGGAATCTGTCTTCGATGAATACATATTGCAACTATGTACCCTATGACATGTATGTATATGTGCGGGAGGTATTGTGCTCACAATTTATTATTTCCCCTGCTTTTATTAGTTATTTTTTTATTTCAGGTAAAGCACTTTACATATATATTGTACATTCACATCAGTCCCTAACCCTCAAGGGGTGTACAATCTAAGGTCCCTAACTCACATTCATACATACACATACTAGGGCCAATTTAGACAGGAGCCAATTCACCTACCAGCATGTCTTTGGAGTGTGGGAGGAAACCGGAGTACCCGGAGGAAACCCACGCAGGCACAGGGAGAACATGTCAACTCCAGGCAGGTGGTGCTGTGGTTGGGATTTGAACCAACAACCCCTAGTACTGCCAGGCGGAAGTGCTAACCATTTAGCCACTGTGCTGCTTTTGTCTCCTCTTTTGAGGGGCATGTTTGTAATCCAACATTTGTGCTGTACCCATTGGAGGTCAGTGGAGGGATGGAGGACACTGAGTGGAGGCCAGTGGAGGGATTGGCAGAGGGGGGTGGCAGATACAGAGCAATTAGTGAGGTGGATGAGTCTGGCAGTAGCATTCATGATAGACTGAAGAGGGGATAGCCTGCGATGAGGTTGGCCAATGAGGAGGGAGTTACAATAGTCGTGGCATGATCTAACAAGGGAGGGAATAAGTTGCTTAGTGGTTTCCGAGGTTAGGAAGGGGCGTATCTTGGAGATGTTGCGGGAGGTTGGAGATGTTGCGGAGGTGAAGTCTACAAGATTTGGACAGTGATTGGATTTGGGGCTGGAAGGACAGATGGGAGTCTAGGATTACACCTAGCACCCTGGCATGAGGGGAGGGACTGATGGTTGTATTATTGATCTTGATGGAGAAGTCAGGGGAGGGGGCACGGTCTAATAATAAAACCACCTGAGCAGTCTCTTTTATGTTAGTCATTTTTATGTTTGTCTCTGCAGGTACCAGTCATTAAATCTGACACATGTCCCTGAACACAGCGCGCCCATCTATGAATTCCGGTGACAAGACATGGAACACCAAACCAAAATCCACAACAGAGACTGAGCGGAGTTGTCCGCTTCCAAACCTGCTGCTCGCCACTTCTGTCCAAGCTAGAGACTCTGAGAAGAATGTATGAGTGTTATAAGCAATGACGCATGAACTGGCCTACTGGCGTCCACTTCCTATACCTGCCGCAGTTTTTATTTTAATACGCCGGATTTTCTTGTTGTTTTATGTGTTTTTTTTTTTTTTTTGTTTTTTTTTGTTTTCTCTTTTTCCTTCCCACCCCTGTGCTTGATATGATGCTCCTCTGCTAGTCCTAAGCTCAAACCAACAAAGGGACCTTTTCGGCCGATGGAGAGGACACTGTAGCAAATATTGGGAAGTTGTCATTTTTGCTCATCCATCTCATTATTGTTTATTGGAAACCTAATGGATTTGAGTGACAAAGATTTTTGCTTTTTCTATTAACTTCCCAGTGGGCACATGTCAACTTCCAACAGTTGCAAGACGGGCTAAACACTCCATTTGTTGTAAAGGATTTGCCCCCGGACCCCCACCCTTCCTTCCCGCCCCCCCGACTCCATGAGTGTTCCTTTTGCCCCAAAATTCTTATAAGAGTGATATTTTTGATTCCCTTTACCAACGAAAGAAGAATCTACTCCAGACTGCAATACATTTTACCCATTTTCACATTGAAAATGGCAAATGTCAGATTTTTTTATATCTATAAATATATATTATAAATGCACATATATTTAATCAAAAATCTAAATCTATGGATACCTCCAGAGACAAGAACTAGGTGAAGGCTTTGATGATTTGTGGTGTGGAAGTCTGATCGACTGAAGTGATATCTGCTGGGCGATGATCCATGCTCCCGGCCTCCCCCCAGGTATCCCAGTTTCTGCTGTGCAAATACCCTACTGAAGTGGGGGTGGGGAGGGTTGAACCAGGACTAAAAAAAAAAAAAAAAAAAAAAAGTGCCATCTTATGGCTATTTGTCCATCGTGCAAAGCAAACTTTTGCAGTACTTTTGAGAATTATGGAAAGACTACAATGCAAGTGACTTACCGCGAGGAGCTACACCGGGACTGCCGCCATATCGGCAAACCGTCTCACAGATTAAAAGCATGGGATGGCTTCTTCCGCTGTTTCTTATAATGCTTAGGACTTTCGCCTCCTCTCACAGCCCTGACCAGCAAACACTGATTAACGCATTTTATTTATGTTTCTCTATTACATCCGCCAAAATTTCTGTGTCGGGGATTAGTGTCATAAGAGATTTTCTTGCCGCTAGCGCTACCGGTTTGGTTTGTATTGCATCGCTAGCTTATTGCGTGTACATCCTTTTTTTTTTTTTTTTTTTTTTTCTTTTTTTGACAAAAAGCTAAAGTGTTAGGAAATATCACTTTGTCTCACTTGCAGTCCTAAGGCAGATCTGTGTGCGCAGAGTTTTGTGCAAACCGTGTTAATGAGGAGGGGGTCGTGGGTTAAAGAGGCGGAGGTTCGTTTTTGTGTGATGTGTACTTTGGAAACATTCTGTAGGGATGTTATGCAGGGCTGCACAAGTTTGTTACGTTCTGTAGCTGGCCCAGTTCAGCTTCTGAACCAGCAGGGTGTTTTTAAAGGGCGGGGGTCACTACTTTATGTATACATAGATCTAGCAATCCTCCATGATAAAGGTTTTTGTTTCTTGCAGATTTTTATATTTAAACCCAACCCTCCGCTTTTGCGGTTTTTAGGTTTTTCTCTGCCATTACTGGGTAGGCAGCTTAACTGCTTCCCGATCGCCTTATAGCAGATATACTGCTATAGGGCGGCACGGGTGTGCAAAATGACATATATATATATATATATATATATATATATATATATATATATATATATATATATATATATATACACATATACACATGATTTTGCATTTCCAGGTAGGGGGTTCGCGTGCCCTACCTGCGCCGCCATTCACGGCCACGGCTTTTAATCACGGAGTCCCGGCAGGTGATTACCGAGCATCTCCCATATATATATGTGATTTTGCATTTCTGGGTAGGGGGCACGCTCACTGTACCTGCGCTGCCATTCACGATTGCAGCTGTCAGTCACCGGGTTGGCTGCTGATTACCGAGCATCTCCCACGGGGAGGAGGACCGTTTTGTTTACTAACAGCCCTCCTCCCTGTTGGCTCAGGCAGCTTAACCATTTCCTGACCGCCTTATAGCAGGTATACTGCTACTGGGTGGCACGGGTGCGCAAAATCACTTGTGTATATATACATGATTTTTCATTTCTGGGTAGGGGGCACGCTCACTGTACCTGCGCTGCCATTCACGATTGCAGCTGTCAGTCACCGGGTCGGCTGCTGATTACCGAGCATCTCCCACGGGGAGGAGGACCGTTTTGTTTGCTAACAGCCCTCCTCCCTGTCTGGTCGGGCAGCTTAACCATTTCCCGACCGCCTTGTAGCAGGTATACTGCTACAGGGCGGCACGGGTGCGCAAAATCACATGTATATATATACATGATTTTGCATTTCTGGGTAAAGGGCACGCGCACCCTACCTGCGCCGCCATTCATGGCCACGGCTGTCAATCACTGGGTCGGCCGCTGATTACCGAGCATCTCCCATGGGGAGGAGGACTGTTTTGTTTACTAGCAGCCCTCCTCCCTGTCGGCTCAGGCAGCTTAACCATTTCCCGACCGCCTTGTAGCAGGTACAGGGCAGCACGGGTGCGCAAAATCACGTGTGTATATATACGTGATTTTGCATTTCTGGGTAAAGGGCACGCGCACCCTACCTGCGCCGCCATTCATGGCCGCGGCTGTCAATCGCCGGGTCGGTCGCTGATTACCGAGCATCTCCCATGGGGAGGAGGACTGTTTTGTTTACTAACAGTTCTCCTTCCTGTCGGCTCGGGCACACTGCTCTGGATGGCTGTGCACAGCACAGCCATCCAGAGCAGTGTACTTACAGTGAAGCACCAAGACACCGCCCCCTAGTAAAAAACACCCAGCACACAGTTAACCCTTTGATCGCCCCTCATGTTAACCCCTTCCTGCCCAGTGCCATTAGTACAGTGTCAGTGATTTTTTTTTTTTTTCTCAGCACTGTATTGGTGTCACTGGGGATATCTGACACCAAGGCAGTTCCCCCACCCAGTGTCAGAATATCAGCCGCATTTCTGCTAGAAGTCGCTGATCGCCACCATTACTAGTAGAAAAAAAAAAAAAAATCCAGTATCTATACCGCCATTTGTAAATGCTATAACTTTCACCTAAACCAATTAATTTACACGTATTGGGTTTTTTTTTTTTTTTTTTTTAGCAAAGACACTCAGCAGAATACACTTTGACCTAAATTTATGATGAAATTTGATTTTTTTTAAGTTTTTTTTTTTTTACAGGACATGTTTAATAGCAAAAAGTCGAAAATATTGGTGTTTTTTTTTTTTTCTCAAAATTGTCAATTTTTTTATGCGCAAAAAATAAAAACGCAGAGGCGATCAAATTCCACCGAAAGAAAGCTCAGTTCGTGGGAAAAAAGGACATAAATTGTATTTAGGTGCAGCGTTGCATGACCGTGCAATTGTCAGTTAAAGTAACGCAGCGCCATAACGCAAAAAATGGCCTGGTCAGGAAGGGGGGGAATTCTCAGGAGGGCACGTGGTTAAGCCTGAAATGTCAGCCATCAGGAGACCTTCCTCACTACTCTTGTCAGATCCTCTGACTTGCACAAAACACATACCTCTGCTCGTTTCCTGGTCTGTGATGTTTCACAGACAGTTTCTTTTCAATACCGGTGACTTTTATAACTTTAGAGCATTTTATGCTGCTGGACAGCGCAGATGGTGTGGGGCAAAGCTTGGATGGTAAATGGGTACAGTCCCAAGCCTGCAGACAACAATAATCATGGGTCCCTGGTGTGTAAATGAATGTGTTTTTACAGCAGAACCTGCGTGGTGTATATGTACATTATGATCATTTATAATGTAAGAAATCCACCTATAAGACTAAACCCCCCCCCCCAAAATGAAAGTATTGCAACGTGCCTGTCCTTTAGAGGTGGTTCCTGCATTTGTTTTCTTTTCTCTCTCATGTTCACCAAGCAGTCCTGCAAATACACTTCCTGTACCTTTTGCAGTTACGTTTATTTCTGCATCTATAGGGGCGGCCATGGTACTTCAAGCATGTCCGCCTTTGTTCATTTCCTTTACTTGGAGGAGTGATGGGAATAGTAGTTTAAACAAAATCATAAAGGGTCCTCCTCTTCATTTTGTAAACACACAGGAAGTGACAAGCACACTGCATTTCTGGCAGGATTAACGGCAAGTCTATGTTCTTGCTAAAAAGGTTCATAGCCTGAAAAAAGGAAACTAATGCAACCACCCCATCTAAGGACTAAAAAGTTGCAACATGTTATGTTTGTTCTTGGGGTAATTATTTGGTTAAGTCAGGCCAAAATAAAAAAAAAAAATATGCATTACATATTTGCGATACGTGCAATACAGTTCCCATGTTTTATTTACCGGTATTTAAAGTGTTACTAAACCCTGGACTCTGCATTCACTATATCTGATCTCCCGGGACTCTTATTCACTATATCTGATCTCCCCGGACCCTGCATTCACTATATCTGATCTCCCCGGACTCTGCATTCACTATATCTGATCTCCCGGGACTCTGCATTCACTATATCTGATCTCCCCGGACTCTGCATTCACTATATCTGATCTCCCGGGACTCTGCATTCACTATATCTGGTCTCTCCCCGGACCCTGCATTCACTATATCTGATCTCTCCGGACTCTGCATTCACTATATGTGATCTCCCCGGACCTTGCATTCACTATATCTGGTCTCCCCGGACCCTGCATTCACTGTATCCGTTCTCCCCGGACCCCGCATTCACTGTGTCCGTTCTCTCCCGGACCCCGCATTCACTGTATCCGCTCTCCCCGGACCCCGCATTCACTATATCCGCTCTCCCGGACCCCGCATTCACTATATCCGCTCTCCCA